GGCGTTATCATTGTGTGCAGTTTATATACACTTAGCTACAGGAAGTTCTGACACATGGGAGTTTACTACTGTGTCTTTGCAGATGTCTATGAAAACTGCCAGAAGGCTGTGCTTGATGCAAAGAGGCAGCCAGCACTGTTTGCTCTTTTTCCTTGTCCTACTTTTTATGTCTTCTTATTCTTGCTTACCAGAGACTGTGTTCCTCAACAAACATCAGCCCCAGAAGATTTTGCCTTAAGCCTTGGGTGTATTGGTCAGTTTTTCATTACTATAAGGAGATACCTGGGGCAGGATACTTAGAAAGAATGGAGGTTTAGTCTAAAGATTTGGGGGTTCAGGGTGTGATGCCTGAATAAGCCCAGTTTTAAGGAGGGCCTCCCTCTTGGATTCTTGGATATATCACATCATGATAGATGATAATGATGGGATAGCATGCAACAGCTAGTGATTATATGGCAAGGCAGGAAGCAAGAGAGCTTGGTAGGACTGGGCTCAGGCTTTTATGACGTTGAAAACTACCTGAACCCTTCCCCTAGGGCTGCACGCCCACTGACCTCAGGGTCTCTTAGTAAGTTCCACCTCTTGAGGGTTTCATAGCACCTCCCAATTCCAACATATGGAACTCTGGAAGACAAACCTCATCTAAACCACAACAGTGGGATCAGACAGGTTTTTATTTATTTATTTATTTATTTACTTATTTGTTTATTTATTTATTTTAAAAAGACAAGATTGAAGGCTGGGGAGGTGGCTCGGTGTAAAACACTATCCATACAAGAATGAAAACTTCAGTTCCTATTCCCAGCACTCACATAAAAGCCAGGTGTGGAGGCCTGCTTCTGTAATGCCAGCTGGGGACCATAGAGCTAAATTGATGAGCTCCAGCTTCAGTGAGAAATCCTGTCTCAAAAAGTAAAGAAGAGGGCTGGGAGATAGCTTGATGGGCAAAGGCATTAGTCATACAAGCTTGACACTGAATTTGGTTCTCTGGAACCCTGGAAAAGATTGGTGGTGTGCACCTGTAATATCAGCTAGATTTGAAGCTGAGATGGAGGAATTTCCCAGAAGCTCTTGAGGGGGAGGAGGCAGGGCTAGCCTGGAGTATGCAGCTCAGTGGCAGAACAGAGACCCTGTCTCAAGGTGGAAGGTGAGAACTGACTCTCAAAAGTTGTCATCTAACTTCCACACACATGTGCCCATGCACACCTGTGCTCACACACATACGTGCATTCATATATGTATATACACTAAATTATTATTTTTTAAGTGTAGAGCTATAGAGGAAGATAGCCAACATCAACTTCTGGCTTCTGGCATCTGCACCCATGTTTACAAACACCTGCATGCACACACCTACTTGAACATTTACACACACACACACACACTGAACAGACTGAAATAGACATGCAAAATATTAACTAGATTTTCTCTCTTCATAATTTTCTATATTTTCTATTTTGACATTTTAAACCAGTAAACAGGTTGTATTAATAAACTGTTTAGAGATACATATTTCTTTCTAGGGTATAGGCTGGCTCCACCTCTGGCTCAAGCTCTCTATTTCTTGGTTCACTGAGATGTAAGGAGTCCCAGCTATAAGCCTGTGGTCATGAACTCTGCTATGGCCTCTCCACCATGATGGACTGTACCTGTACCCTCTCAAACCATAAGCCGAAATAAAATCTCTCCTCCCTTAATTTGCTTCTGTTAGGCATCTGATCACAACAATAGGAAGGTAAGATAAACGTGTTTCCACCTTCTCACCACAGCCTGATTTGCTGTGGGGATCAGAATTGCAGCTGGAATGGGCTCTGGGCAGTCACTCCTGCAGACGGCACCTTCACAGATGAGGAAACAGAGACTCAAGACACTAATTGTCTTCTCGGTACTGATTGAATAGCAGGATTCAGTGGGCAGCATTTACCTGTTAGACGTTTGAAGAAAGCACGCCAGCTGTTCACAGAGCTCACCCTCCAGGGAAGATGAGGCTCAGCTTACTAGAAGACTGGAAGGATTTGGGAGACGAATGAAATCCAAAACTCTAAATTTTTCTGGAACGGTCTTTTAATTTTGCTCTTCTTCGTTATTCTGGGGTTCAGTGAATGGCAGAGTTGGTGCCTAATTGAGTTGTTACTTCCACATGCGTAGTTAGTTCCATGGTCTGTTGGAACTATGTTCCCTCCAGTCCTGCCTCACAGCACTTAAAAACAAGGACGGGCAGTTCTTTCCACACTAGTCACATTAGTGCAGGGTTAAGCCTGGAGCGTTCTGGTGGTTCCTAGCCTGGGCTTGTAAGAGACTGAATCCCAAATATACAAACAGGGTCATACTTCCTGCTTCTTCTTGGTCTGACAGGAAGGCCCTACTAGTTTATTTTACTTTTTAATTCAATTTAATTTTGAGACAGGGCTTGCTATATAGACCAGGCTGGCCTTGATCTCACAGAGATCCTCCGGGCCCTGCTTCCTGAGTGCTGGGATCAAAGGTGTGTGCCATCACACCCAGCAAGGCCTTATTTTTTTATTTTTTATTTTTTTAAACTCCAACAGGGCCTCTAAAACTGATCTGCTTAGAGTCACATAATCCTGAATATCTCATCTTGGAAATGTGACCTATCAGCACCCTCATCTTTGTCTAAGTTGATCAATCCAAAATTAGGGAGAGGAAACCATGAAAACACAGGAGGCCCACGCCCTCCTGGAAGCTTTGGATTTTCATTCCTGAGTCCCATCTCCACTTGTGGAGGGCTTCCTCTTTCTGTGTGAATGTGTGTATGTATGTGTGATTCTTTATGTACCTTGATGTAATTCTTTATCTTTCAGTAGGTTCGACTGTTGCTCTCTGCTGGCCTGAATTTTTCCTGCCTCTTAATTCTTTATTTGACTGAGAAGATGAACCCTACAATACCCCAAGACCGATAACAATGTCAACCACAACAGGCTGTGGAGCTGGATTAACTGAGTTTGAAGTTTCATTCTGCCAGTGACTATCCACTTGACTCTGAACAGTGAATTGATTCTGCATAAGTAACTTGACCTTTCTCTGTCATATCTTCATCTGCAAAATGGCAATGACTTAAATACCCATTCTACTCATGAAGTGTACACTAATTTTCACATAGCATTCACTAAACATTGACTATCAATACATGCTCAAAATTATTAGAAAAAGGAATCAAAAAAGAAATAATCATCACAAAGAAGAAAGTTATTTCAAACCACCCCAGTTCCTGTTATCCCTCATATTTATGCACTGTCTATGTTCACAGAAGGAAAGAAGAAATATACTACTTTTTTAACAGCAGCTCTGTACTGTTTTATAAGATTTGCATCAATAAGATATTGTCTGCTACAAAAATTTAGGATTCAAATTCAGACGCATTATTTTCCCCCCAACTAATAACTAAAAGCATTCAATGCCTCATGAAAAAAACTTCCAAAGTCAACACCTCTGTTTAAGAATCCCAGGGCTGATCCAGTCCAAAGGGGTCAGATGTTTCAATGTTAAGTCTCCCACCATAAGTTGAACAGCCCTGGCTGTTCCTTTTGCCCTGAGACGGCCCCTCGGCAGCCACAGGGTGGATTTGGAGGTTCCCCGGCAGGTTCCTGGCCTGGTGGACATCTGGGCAAGGTGAGGGTTACAGGGCAGCAGCAGTCTGTAGGTTAACAGGGTTGCCACTAGCAAGAACCACATATTTGTGGGCCAATCAGCCCTCATGAACCCTGCCAGCCTCTTCTTCAGACCCTAGGTCATTATCTTGCTAGCCTTACCTTCCCTCCATCATTATCTAGTTTTAGCAATTTTTTTACCTTTATAAAAGCATCTGCCTCCTCCCGACCACATTAATTCGATGGTGCTACCAGAACAGGCACCAGACCAGATAGAGTAAACAAAGATGTTTTCTCACAGTTCTGGAGAAGAGGAGTCTGAGGTTAGGAGGTGGCCCCTTTGGAGGCCTCTCCTCAGCTTTCAGACAGCTATCTTCTCTGTGTTCTCATATGGCTTGATTGCTAAGCACCATCACTTTGAGGGGTCAGGATTCCAACATGTGAATTTTGGCAAGAAGTTCCAACAGAGAGCTCTACATATTTAGAGTAGCATTATCTTTCAAAGAGAGAGAATAAGAGTGGAATAGCAGGTAGTCAGGGAGGGTGACTCTATCCCCCAAGGAATTCAGGTGTCCTGTGCTTCATGAAGCTTTTGTTCAATCATTTAAAGCAATCCTGCAAAATTTAGAAGACCGCTGAAGTAGAGGGACCTGAGCTCCTGCGGCTGAGATAGGAGTGAGGGAAACAGTCCCTCTCATTAAGCTATCTCTTACAGGCACACTGGGATCCTCTGCCTGGAGGGGCCTGGGTGTCCAGGCTGCTGTTTGCTATTTTTCCATTGACACTTGCAGCAGGCATAGCGATACCATCTGATGATCCCTGGCTCTGAAAACATAACTCCACTGTTAGCACCCAGACCAGCTACACTGTCACTGTCCAGGATGAGCTTCTGTAGTGCCACAGATCTCTGTGGATGTGGCCAGCTGTGTTTTTCCACTTTGCTTCTTTTTCTAGATGAGTTTTTTAATCACCCTGATCAACTGCGATACCCAAGAAAAGCCGAGTGGGTAAAGTTATATGCAGTCGCCCTGTAACCTGTGCACACACACCAGGTCAATAAAACTCAGGCAGAATGACAGCGACAGCTGCCTTGTGGCGCTCAGAGGGAATTGAGCAGTTCTGTTTGGAAGCCTCAGCGACAAGTGTATCATTACAGCTCGTCTTCCCGGAGAGAAAGTACTCTGACCCACCCTCAGGGACAGGCACAGCTCTCCAACAGCCACACAAGGTCCATCTTGGGCTCCTTCAAGGCTTCATCAAGAACCTGTGAACTCCCTCCATACTAGGATCCCCTGGCCACACTCTGCTTTCACCTCCATACTGTCCCTGCCACCAGAGTCTGACTTTGAGGAGCCAGGGCAGAACAAGCTCCCAGCCTTGAAGCAGGAAAGGAAGACCCGAATGGGTGCCAAGCAGTCAAGGGCCAGCTCCAAGGACAAGGACCCCAAGAGGCTACTGCTGATGGGAAGGAGACAAAAGTTCTCTTCGTGGGATGACACCCTGCTCTTGGGGAAGGACCCGAGGTCCCTGCTGAAGCGTGGCATGCGCCACGTCAGCTTCAGCTTGGTCACCAAAGGAATGACAGATATCCCAGACTTTCTATGGGGTTTGTCAGAAGTCCAGAAACTTAATCTGTCTCACAACCAGCTCCTAGCTCTCCCTCCTGAGGTAGGGAGGTTGACCCGGATTGTGGTCCTGAACTTGTGTGGGAACCGTCTCAAGAGTCTTCCCAAAGAAGTCAGCCTCCTCCAGAGCCTCAAGGTCCTGTTTCTCAACATGAACTGCCTGGCTGAGATGCCAGCTGAACTGAGCTTGTGCAGGAGCCTAGAGGTGCTGAGTGTGTCACACAACTGCCTATCGCAGCTTCCTGCCAGCTTCGCCGACCTCTCTAGACTGAGGAAGCTGAACCTCAGCAACAATTACTTTGCACACATCCCCATCTGTGTGTTCTCCTTGAAGGAGCTGGATTTCCTGCATGTGGGCTCCAATCGCCTAGAAAACATCGCTGAGAGCATCCAGTGCCTGGCCAGTCTGCAGATCTTCATCGCAGAGAGCAACAATATCCACTCCTTCCCCAGGTCACTCTGCCTTGTCACTAGCCTGGAGCTGTTGAACTTGAACAACAATGATATCCAGACCCTTCCGGATGAACTCTACCTGCTGCGAAGACTGGGGAGGATTGCATGGAATCCCATGGACAAAGGGCTTCACATTTCCCATAACCCTTTATCCAAGCCCCTGCCAGAGCTAGTGGAAGGGGGACTGGAGATGCTTTACAGCTACCTGAAGGACAAAAAGCACAACTGATGGCATGGACACCAGAGGCATGGACAGGGGCCAGTTCGTGTTGATGCTTTCAGCCTGGGTACTTATCTAGTCTAAGCTTTGGCTCTACTGCTAGTGTCTGTCAGTACTGGGTTCCTTTTGCTAAGTCACTATCGAGCATCTGATCAGGTGAGGTACTTGCTTTTAACTCTGTCTGTCCTCAGTACCCTGGGAGAGTATGCGTATCTCATTCAAAGCATGAATTCAAACAGGCTTTTGGCTTTTGCCTAAATGAATGAATTGCTCTAACAGTAAAATGCAGCTCTAAGTAAAGTAAATAATAGGTCTAAATTCAATGTAATTCCAAGGTCAAATATACACTACTATATACTGTGTGCCAAGTACAGTGTGAAGGTTTGGGTGGTTTCCACCCTTGAACCAGCAGCTATATGGCAACAGCAAGACGAGTTCCTCTGTCAGCCCCAAGCAAACTTCATTTAGGAACAAAGGGCAAGCTGGAGCTGGCTTCACGCTGCCTGGGACCAAAACAAGCAGAATTGTTGCTGGGTTCTGGGGAAATGATCATGGGAACTTTTCCTTTAAGATGCCTCCAGGGCATTAATTAGGCTATTCATGGCTGTGTGCTGGTGACAAACAGCATGTTAGCTTTCTGGTAATAAACAAGAATGATTTCAGTGTGGAGTCTCAGTGTTCTTTCCCAGGCCCCTCCTACCAACCATCATCCCTCTGTGCTTTTTGCCAGGGACAGGAGCCTGTGGTCAAATGACCCTGTTCTACTTTTATTTTTCTCTTTCCCTGGGTTTGACCTCTCAGAGATACATTAAGCCATGGGGGTTGCGGGGGGCAGGGGGGGGGAAGGCCAGAAGACAGGCATGAGGAGGTAAGGCATAGAGAAGTCACATACAAAAAAAATTACCCTTTAAAAATTTGGAAAAGACAAACATTTGCTATTTGAGTTTCATATATGGACATGACAAAGCTCCTCGGGCTAAAGTTGCCATCAAGTCCCTAAGCTTGTTTTAGTTTTGGTTTTAAGAGTACACAGCTGTCAGCTAAACACAGACACAGGTGTGGGCAGTGACAGTGAGCCAGGGTCACAGGGTCTCACTGCCAACGCAGCAGCCAGGGGCGTCAAAACATTGGTTTTTATTTAGGGTTAAAGGATTACTGTGGAAAGGTGATGTTGGTGAAGATACCCACAGGTCCACGGAGAGTCAGTTTCTCTAATTTCTTGGCCCAGTGATTTATAGAAAGTAGCAGACAACAAACAAATAGAAAGGTTTGGGGTTGCTGTCAAGACTTTGATAACTGATTTCATCTTAATTATCTCTGTTTAACTGACTTATATTAATCAGTATCTTCTCTAGTCAGGACACCGGGCTGGGGATCTGAGAGGAATGACGTCCTATTCTTTCTACAAAGTAGATCACAGTTTGGCGAAGGGCACAGACCCTCATGGGCCTTCACCACCTGTGATAAGTTGTGATTCCCCACAAAGCAAGAAGACTCTATAGTAGAAGATACCCTGACGTCCAAAGCTCCAGGAATCAAAGAAGAGTAAACAAGGGCACAGGTGGGGTGATCAGTCAACCCCCCCCCCCGCTGCCATCTAACCCCAGTACCTCTCCTTTCTCCCCTGTCCCCAACTTAGAAAGTACAGGGAAGTGCTGAGACAGTGGCTTGCTCGTTCTCAAGTTCTGAGCTTAGGCACTTTTTGGGTGTATCAGCCTTCATACTTTTGCTAAGAGCTGTTCATAGGAACAAGCTGTTTTTTCAACAGACTCTAATGTCAATTCTCCCGTCCACACAAGAAGAAAGCCAGTTCCTGCTGTTTCCATCAGATGCTACACCTCATTCACACATTTACACAGGAGCTCCTCTCCTGAGCCATTGCAAACAGATCTTACCAGTGTCACTTGGAGGCAGCTGAAGTTGCTTCACAAGCCTCAGGTAACAGGAGACTGGCAGATCTCTGCTAGCCCACACAGGCACACTCCAAAATCCTCACCTGTGTTGGCTTATTGGCGCCAAGACTATTTAAAAACATGAGTGGAATTCTCAATTGACCTCCTGACTCTGTGGGAACAGGGCAGGTCACTCGCTGAAGCTTTGGCCGAAGTCTGTGCAGCTGTCAGGCAGGCACAGACGTGCACCAGGGTGGTGCCCATGAGTGGTGGCTGCTGTGGGCAGCTTTGGCTCACACTGAGCTTGCATGACCTTGATCTGAGAAGAGATGTGGGAGCACTGCCCTTTCCTGCTGAGCAGTCATTTTATTTCCTCTGCCATCCTCTCAGTCACTTGATCCCACAGTAACTCTACTCCAGGGAAAGAATGTACCATATTCTGAAGGTGACCCATGAGCTTATTGTACTTTTTATAAGAAAAAAATTGCATCAATTTGGTGGCCAGCTTCTCTGGCACCTCTCAAAAGTATAATAGCACGGTTTCCTTTGTTAACACTCAGCATGGGGGAAATCACAAAAGTGGAGTAGTTACCTGTTGTGCTTTAGATATTGATTCTTTGTGAACGCTTCTTTTTATTGATAATGGAAATGCTGAGCCAAATACCAGTTAATGTGCTTAGTTATTCAAAATGCTACAGTGGAGGGATTTGATAGAACCTACCTTTGTGTCTTTGCTGTCGAATGCCACGTTTATTGACTATGAAATGCCTCTTGCTTATCTTTCATGCTTTTGACATTGTCACATTCAAGTAACTTCCAGGTGTTCTGGAGGCTCCTGGAATCAAAGGCTGAGGATGCTGCACTGGCTGTGGGGTAGATGCAGTCAAAGAATAGATGCTAATTGGCGTTTGATGTGGGGAATCTGACTGCTCCATTTCTGATGATGTTGTGTTCATGTTCCTTGGCTGTCAGCACACAGGGATGTCAGTGTGGGCTCAGAAATACCTTTTGAAGCAGTTGCAACTTATGAGCACACAATTAAGCAAAAACCCTATATTCCTAAGAAAGGAAGAAGACTGAAAAGACACATCTGTTCATAGAATAATACTGCTAAATGCATAATACCGCTGCATAATACTGAGTGCACAGTCATCACTCAGCTTGTTGACTTAATTCATGGATGATAGAAGAAATGGACCCCATTCTTGGGCTTTGGTTAATAGACTCTGATTCTGTAGTAACCAAAGAGAATGAGTTCAGGACTGCACACCTGGAGTTCACAATAAACTTGTGTCTGCCCTAGAAAACAGAAAATGAGGGAATGCTGTCATCATTTACAGGGATGCATGAAAAGAAACCAATTTCTTATTTTCCAGCAATAGATTGTAGCATTTTGAAAGCCCATCTCTCATAGGCCTCAAAGCACCAACTGGATATGTGTTTTGATAGCCAAGCATAGGAAACACAAAGATGAAAGGGTATGGTCACTGGAAATCCATCAAATATCAACAGTTTGAGACTACAGGGATGGTGAGGCCTGCAGGCGCTCGTGTGTGTGTGTGCGTGTGTGTGTGCGCATGTGTGTGTGTGTGTGTGTGTCTGTGCCTGTGTGTCTGTGTCTGTGTTTGTGTGTCTGTGTGTGTGTGTGTGTGTGTCTGTGTCTGTGTTTGTGTGTCTGTGTCTGTGTTTATGTGTCAGTGTGTTCAGGAGTGTCCCCCCTGGTCTAAATGGAATCACTGAGACTCTGGTTATCTGTGTCTGTGTCTGTGTTTGTGTGTCTGTGTCTGTGTTTATGTGTCAGTATGTTCAGGAGTGTCCCCCCTGGTCTAAATGGAATCACTGAGACTCTGGTTAATAGTTAAAAAAAATAGAGGGTGAATTGTGGAAATGATGTTTAAAAGAAACAAAAACAAAAACAAAGACTTAGGCTGCTAGATTAAAACAACATGAAGATACTAAATATGGAATTATGCCATTAGTAGATACTCTGTAAATGTCTTAGGCTAACTCATTATTCCAGAAATTATTTTCAGTCTTGGATAAAATACCCTTGAGAAACACAAAACTTCCTGCCTAGCTGCAATATGTAACGTAGTCTCATCACCATTGTCATTTCTTAATGACATCCAGGAATACCAAAAAAGCATCATGGTATACAGTTGAAGAAAAACAAAATAAGATTCAGAATAACATGAAACCCACTAAAACAATAATGGGAAAAATCTTGACCTTGTACAGAGAAAACTTTCTACAAGTGTTCCTTTTAAATTACCCATTGCATTACATCTTGAATCAAAAGCATTACTAATTAAAAAAATAGCATGGTCATAAAAAGGGGAAGCAGAGAGGGCTTGTGATGAATTTGCAAGAACTAGGGCATCATTAGAGAGAGCATAAGCAAGAGCTATTAGCATGACGCTTGCTATGCAGATTTTTTTAGCAGTGTCGTAGGAAAATACTTACAAGAAGACAGTTTATTTCCTAAGGCTTCTAGACTCACCCCTTATCCCAGCACAGGGTAGAAAATAAAAAGTGAACTGGATCAAAACTTATCTTGATACTAGTGAGAGAGATAGACATTAGTGAGAGAGATAGACATCATAAACACTGCATGAGTGTCACTCTGACGGTGGGAGCCAGCGCTGCCGAGGGAGCATCACATAATCGCCTGCATGCTTTGGTCTTCAGTGACTTGAATTCCTCAGATGTTAGTGTGTCAGCCACGCCACTCTCAGAACTCTGCTCTTTTCTGGACTCCTGAATGCCATGCCCACCACACTACGCATGCACACAGTGGCGTGGTGCAGAGCTTTGGACTGAGCCAAACATGTTGAAAGCTCAGCATCATCTGTGTGCCTGTGTGCTCTTGGATTGTGCAGGTGCTAGGGACATGATGATGGTCCAGGCTGTCACCCTCGGGTGCTTTTAATTCTAGTGGAGAAGAAGACAATGCTCCCCTGACAAATGCAGTGCTCTGGCAGCAATAGCTGAAAGGATGGGTAAACAATGCAGAGGCACTTGGCTGAGCTGAGAGGTGGTAGAGGTATTGCACGACTGCACGGTGTGGGGTACATATGGTCCATCATGACTGTCCCAAACCCAACATTTCCTTTGCTTTGCTTCACTTTGTCTTGACAGGCACTTGGCTGAGCTGAGAGGTGGTAGAGGTATTGCACGACTGCATGGTGTGAGGTACATATGGTCCAACATGACTGTCCCAAACCCAACATTTCCTTTGCTTTGCTTCACTTTGTC